TTAGGATTGTAAGTGGCAGTCTTACATAGTTTTCTGATGGGATATTTTGTGCCCTGGCATCTGGGGATTGTCATGTGATACTTCCAAATATTTGAGCATCATTCAGCAAACGTTGGTTGCTATCTTTTGTGTTTTTAGTATTCTTTGGTGTTCTATTATACATGGTAGTTGCATCTGGTATCCTGGTGGGGGAGGAGGTACTTGGCATGTCTGTTTTACCTTGGATGAGCTAGTACAGTTTTAACCATTAGTCGCCCGGCCAATAGCCATTTGGCAGCCGGAAAAATGCTTTAGATTTCCGGGTGGACGCCATATGGCGTACTCCCGGGCATGCGCAGTTTGCGCGCTTGCAGAGCCGCGCAGCGGCGCGATCTGTCACCGGCCGTGTACCTCGGACACGGCCAATGACATCTGAGTACCGGCCCCCCGTTGCCAGTACCATGTGACCTGCTGTGACCAATCACAGCAGGTCACATGACAGTTGTATACAATGGATGGCTTCATTCATGCCATCCATTGTATACTAGTGTCTACCTGTGAATGATCACAGCGATCACATGCACATGTCATGTGATTAGCTGTGGCCAAATCACAGCTAAGCACAACAAAAAAAAAAAAAAAACCCTGAATAAATGGATGTCATTCAGGTAAATGGTTGCTTATAGCAAAGTAATTCTTTGCTATAAGCAAATTGTGTAAAAAAAAAAAAACAAAAACAAAAAAAAAAATTGATCACTTCCCCAAAGTAGTACAGTGTTGTATAACATTGTACTACTTTGGACATAGTGAAATATGAAAAAAAAATCTTTACAAAAATGTAATAAAAAATTTTAAATAAAAAAAATTAAAAAAAATATTTTTTTTTTTTCATACTGTCACCAGTCAGTGTCCCTGATCACCGCCATGCCAGTTATATGATGATGCTGTACTGCACTGGTGAGAGTATGTTAAAAAAAATAGTGAAAATAATTTTTTTAATTTTTTCATTTTCCGAAAAATTATGAAAAAAAAATACTTTAAAAAACTTGCCATTCCTCTTATGAAATACGTCAGACTGTCTACTTTGCAAAAAGGGGTCATTTTATTTATTATTATACAGGATTTATACAGCGCCAACAGTTTGCTCAGCGCTTTACAATATAACAGGAGACAATACAGCAACAATACAGTTCAGTACAAGAGGGAAAGGAGGGCCTGATCCTTGGAACTTACAATCTAAGAACAATCAACTCAAAATTTACAAATAAACATTTCTGACAAAAAAAAAAAAAATAATTATTTGACCAATATAGCCACCTTTTTTTTCAATAAGTCATAAGCTTTCCATTCATGGAGTCTGTCACTTACTTGATCTGTTGCCGATCAACTTTTTGTGCAGCAACAACCACAGCCTCCCAGACCCTGTTCAGAGAGGTGTACTGTTTTCCTTCACCGTAAATCTCCAGTTTAAGGAGAGCCCACAAGTTTTCAGTAGAGTTTAGGTCAGGTGAGGAAGGGAAACCTTGAAATTTATCTTTACCTTTACTGGCTAGCCACGCAGTGGAATATTTCGATACATGCGATGGAACATTGTCCTGCAGAAATATCATGGTCTTTTTGAAAGATGCAGACTTCTTCTTGTACCACTACATGAAGAAATTGTCTTGCTGGAATCTGAATCAAAGTGGAGCTCTGTGATCCAGCCATGGGCCCGTCAAGAGTCACTCTCATCTCATCAGTCCATAAACCTCCAGGTAGGTTGCAGTTCTAGAATATGACAGCACTGGAGGAGCTTCACGTTTGATTCTTTTCAAATCTTTGGCAGTTAATTTGCGGCTTTTCTTTTTTTTTTTTCGTTAAGACTTTTCTTGGGAACCTTGTTTGAATATTGGCAACAAAATGTTTGGTTCTGTGATCACCCCAATATCTTAGCAATTTCAAGAGTGCTGCGTCCCTCTGAAAGACGTTTTACAATTTTTGACTTTTCAGAGTCCGTTAAATCTCTTTTTTAGCCCATTTTGGCTGAGGAAAAGAAGCTACCTAATAATTAGGCACTCCTTGATTTACGGTGTTGATCTCCTTAGGCCACACCCTCCCTCATTACACAACTACATATCACCTGATATGCATTCAAGTTTATACAGCTTAGAGTTGGACAATATGCATAAAAATGATGACTTGGTCAAAATACTCGCTTGCCTAATAACAGTGTACATGTACTGTAAAAACGCTAATAAAATGCTAACGCTACTCCAAGCAGGCACATTAATGCTATTTATCAGCGTTTTTCAGCCAGCTTTTTTTTTTTTCTTTTTGTGCAGTTTTTTTTTTTTTTTTTTTTTGAGCTTTTGAAATGTCAAGTGTGCATAAAGCCTATAGGTTGATTTTCTTGCACTAGATTGTTGCACTCAAAATTGTACTGGCTTTTTACCTATTTACACTCCTTTCACACAGAAGTTCTGATCGGGACCGCCTGCCCATGTTTCAGACGGACCTGATCACAATCTCTATTCTCCTCTATGGAGCAGTGGGTGTAAATGGACACGTTTCTGTTATCTAACAAAAGATTTCCCAGCAACACTTGCCTGCAAAACAACCAATTTGGCCCTGCCTAACAGTTTGTGTTAAAAACAGAGGGTTGTGCTTGCACACATTTGCAAATACAGGCGTAAGCCACAGTCCCACATCAATATTAACATATATGAAATACAATTAATATGGCAAAGCTTTTTGTGTCATGAGTAGAATGGTGTGAAGGGTTATAACCTCTGTTCAACTTTTTATTTTATATTTTGAAGTTTCTGTTCACTTCCTTTATATGCTAGTAGAACTGAAAAAGGGAGAAATTTCTCCAGTGGTGACACAGTAATAGAAACACTTTTACTAGTACAGTGGGGAAGGGTTAGAGACCCTCTCCTGTTACCTTTTGCTCTCTGTATCCACATTCGGCAGGTTCCCTTATTTTCTGTTGCGTTGCAGGAAAGAAAGTGGGTAGGACAGCAATAAACACCTGGCAGGGGTGCAAACATACTGCTCAAAACAAAAAAGTAAACTGGACTTGCTGTCTGCTCTTTTTCTGTAGTGTCCCTTTCACATGATGGCGGTAGGAGCAGACATACTTGGGTAACTGGGAACTGTGTCCCGAAGTTTACTGCCAATATGACTAATAAAAATCTAACCAGTAAAGGAAGATTACATTTTTAAAAAGTTTGTGCATTTTTATTAAAGTGAGGTTATGTTAAAATAAGAATTGTGACTGAGACCAACGTTCTACACCTACAATATGCATTAATCTGTTCAAACTGGTACAGTATACCCAGCATATAATCCTTTAATTTGACGTGCGTGTGTATTGGTATGTGGGTGATTTATTTTTCCCTTTATTTGTATGTGTTCAGGTGAGTCCATTAGCCTGACTACTGTTTTCCAGCACACGTCAGAATTGTGCATAATGCAGCACATTACTGCTGTACTGTACACAAGTTACAAAGGATGAATAAATATTAACATGTAGACTGTCATCTATAGTGGTTTGTTTAATGTGCTCTTCAGTCACAACCTGCAATTTCTGCTTTCTGCTTGGGGACTTTTATTTAATATGCTTGCATTCCCTTCAGATTATTACTATTGAGTGGCACTTGAAACAACTGTTTTGGTTTACAGTATGTGACATGAAACCCCTTTCCTGATTTCTTATTCTGAAATATACAGAGTGGATCATGAATTTATTATTTCATTCACCGCTGCAATGGTGGCAGGGCAGTTGGACCTCAACACTGAAAAGGAGAATAATTGTAGGAGAGCTTTGGAATGATAGCTCACCATATGTATGGAAAGGATAATAAAGCTTGTGCTGTTTACAGCTGATTCATTGAAAATTAGAACTGGTAGTATTATGAAGACTATTCATGTCTTTATACTAGACCCCCTCTTGATTCTGATTTTTAATCTGATCTTTTCAGCCACGTGATGTCCTGTAAAGTATGTGTAGTTAATTCATCATGGGATTCAGAACTTCTGATTTGGTAATGTGACAATGAGACATTAGTGTTCCAGTTGTAGTAAATCCCCTCCTCCCCTTCACTTTGTAGCACTAAAAGAAGAAAATGCACCTTTTCTAAACTTGCACTGCACTATATTGCTTTGATGTGAACAAACGCTATAGAGAATGTGATTTTCCATTGTTGTGCATTGTAGTCTGACAGCAGATGCACAACAAATCGCACTAGTGTGAGCAGGGATCTAAGCTAAGAGCACTTTCAATAAAAATACACTATTTAACTTCCCTGACTTGCACTTTACTAGACCCCCCCACTGCAGCCTTTTTGTTTGCTTCAGGAGGTCAGACACAACCTGTCCTCAGCAATGGCTGTGTTTACATCCTCCAGTCCTCATAGACTTGTATAGGACCAATACTGGAGACACGTCAGAGATGACCCTATACAAATGTAAGAGGACATACTGCACTGGCCTGGTGGTCAAACAATGCCATAGCTAGCCCACTGAAAAAAAGCATGATGTAAATCATGTGCATGAGTTCATTCACCCCTGGTACACAGTCACCTTGCTGAGAATGTATCACATGAATGCACAGCTCAATATGCATTGTAGTAGACACATAGCATGTCTCTTCTGTCATAAATAGCCTGCCTGCTTGAAACTTGTTTTGTACCTTTTTTAGTTCCACTTTAACTACAATAAAGAGAAATCTGGTTGCCAAGCATTACTGCACTTTATCTTTGTATGTCATTGAGAGAGCCATGTGCCTCACAGGTAAAGCGCTATGTAAATACAAGTAGAAGATTGCTTGTTTATCCAGAGCCACAAACTGCCTTTAAGCTTTCCTTATTCGTGTTTGCAAAATATGCAGAAACAAATAGTACATTTCATTTGCATATATACATAATCAAAATGTATTTTCTGGAACTCTTCTTGGTGAAGCAATGTATAAAATGGTCTCTTATGGCTTCAGTGGTATTTTATGTATATGTACTGCGCTCTCTCATATGTTTCTTGGTATGATGAGCTGCTTCTCTCTGTGTTCTGGAATTCAGTTATTTTCAATCTTTCTTCTTTTTTTTTTCTTGAAATTGCAGCCTGCAGAAATAGATGTACTGATAGGAAAGGATAGAGAAGGATTCTTCACTAATGGTCTAACTGCTGGAGGAAAGAAATGCTCGGTGATCAGAGACAGCCTCTATGTTGATAATGATTACACAATGGATATCAGGACAAAAAGTCAAGGCGGAGAACCAACATACAACATTGCTGTAGGCAGAGCTGCCAGAGGTAAGACCTTTTTATGTTAATATTAGTAAATACTAGGGTTACATCCTTGAAGGGAAACTTTTTTTTTTTTTTTTTTTTTTAGTATTCTTGTCTTTTTCTTCCAATTCAAGTGAAAAGGATCATCTTGATGGAAATCTTCTCAATGTGTGTTTTTGATAAAAGAAAATACTTGCATGGCCACTGTTTGCCTTCCTATTTTTTCTTTCTCACATTTATAAATTTATAAGCCCGGGAACTGGTTAAAAAGAGTAGCTTCAATATCTGTTTGGCTGTAATTTTAACTCCTTACTTAATAAAGGAGTTTAATGGCATAAAGTGGTGTGAAATATTGTACAGCAAGCATATAGATTGAAAGGAACATTAAATATTTAAAAACTTACTGCACCATGTTATGGAACATCAATTCCCTCCATTGCACATGCCCCTCCTTCCAGACTGGATATTGGGTAGATAGTTGAATTCCTCATCTGTAATGATTGTAACGGCTCCTTACAGGGATCTCTCACTGTAGTGTTACACTTTGCAATGTTGCTGCAGACAGGGCCTCATTATATAGGATTAGAACTTTTTTATGGTTTTATGGACTTTTGTCTTTTTTTTTTTCAGCCAGACTAACTATGTAACTATATTGTAAATTACCTGTTTACCTCTGCCCTGTTCTTTTGCCTGTAAACACCTCTGGAAAAGCTTAATTGCCCATTCCGGCCTATCTGATCTGATGCAGTGCATTAACAAATGTTATGTTAAAGTGTTACTAAAGTCCAAAATGTTTTTTAATTAAAATAACAAACTTGTTTTACTCACTTGCACTGTGCGGTGGTATTGCACAGAATGGCCCCTATCCCTCAGGTCTGCCGGCGGCGATCTTGGCTTCTCCTCTTCTTCGTGTGTCCTCATAGCAAGCCGTTTTTGCTATGGAGGACTCGCTTCATAGACACACAGTGGGACTTAGCCCTGCCCCCTGCTTCCTCCACCCTGCAATTGATTGACAGCAGCAGGATCCAAAGGCTACTGCTGCTGCTCAAGTCCCTGTGTGAAGAGGAAGAGGGGAAAGGAGATGCAGCTGTGGACAGTGCTGGATCTATTCTCCCCTCTTTCCCTACACACAGGGAAGGGGGAGGTCAGAGGAATAGAAAACAATTTTTTATCTCTATGCAAGGAATGCATTAAGGTAAAAAATGTTTTTAGCTTTAGTATCACTTTAAAGCCATCAATTATTTTGAATGGACTGCCAGCACAAAACAGACCTAAAATTGGACCTACCCCATTTTTGCCAGTGTAGTGCACAGCAGTGCATTGCAGTTTAGGTGCACCGGGTGTGTTTTTGGTTAATGAACATGCATTTACTATGAACATTTTTTAGCATTCTAGCTAAATGTTCCCAAAATGATTCTCCCAAACTTATTGTTGATACTTGATGTTTGTAGTGCAGTGTGTGGGATTTCTTTTCTTTTGCTAACATTGGGTACATTCAAGAAGCTGTAAAGCCATCGTAATTCTATTAAAAGAAGTTTTCTATCATCACTTTACTTTTTTTTTTTTTTTTTATAATTTTACCTGGATTATTTTTAATGCATTCAATATTAATTTAAGGAAGTTGTCAATGTGCTAAACAAGTGTACCTACAACTTTAATATTTACTTACTCCTCCTTTAAAATTTTTAGAGGTAAATGTGTATAATAAACAGATGTATTAGGCAATCTGTGGTAGGGCTGTAGGCAACAAAGCAGCCCGGTGCTATGAAAAGCCCCATAGTGCTAGTGCGTGTATAGGTACAATGCATCAGCAGCTGCTGCTAACTTAACATGCGAGTTCACTTCTCAAGTGTGAGAACAGACACAGCAGCTGTTGTTTTATTCCTTTTCCAACACAATTAACGTCTTTGTTTAATTCCAAAATTAAATTGCAACTTGTAAACCATAAAGGTCGTGATTCCTTTTTGTTTCTATAGTCTATCATTAAATCTAGTAGCATTTATTGTATAGAGCTTACCAAATTTATCTGCAAAACAAAGATAAGCAGTTTACCCCATGGTTTCTCTGGGCCTGCACATGACAGCTTTCAAAAGGCTGTATCTGTGGGCTCCACACTTTTTAGTTTCCACTTCATACCTACTACCGGTACTTGTAAAAACCATGTCCCACAAAATGTTTTGCTCCTGGCTATGTCCTCTGGTTCCCTCTTACAGCAGTACTTGTGATATGTCCCAGTAGTAAGATAGCCAGGAATCTGACATTTGGCTGGTGTTCACTTTTTATAGCCTTTCCTGCAATGGCTCATTCACATGGCTGTTTCTGAGATTCTGTCAGCATATTTCTGCAGTGGGTAAGGTCAGATGTTTGCATTAAGCAGTGGACAGGATTGACTTCCATGTATCCATCAAGATAGATGTGTGGAAAATGATCAAAGAAAACTGGACTGAAATGGGGTTGTTGGCCATGGTGTCCATAGAGATTCTTTCTTGCTTGTATCCTGTTCACAAGATACAATGCAGGTCATATATGAACTATCATTCTGCGCCCCCCTCTCTCGATTTTGTGACGTGGCGGTGCATTAATTGATATTGATAGGTATGTGTTTGTGACTTTTAGGCCTCTTCCACATGGGGCCTGCTAATAGCTGTGTTTCTCCAAACGGGGATGCAAGGGTGTTTTGTGCATTCCTGTGCAGTCAGTCCCATTCATTTTAGTTGGGCCACAGCCGCTGCTCCCAATTTGACAGCTGTGCAGTTGTGTGGCCCAGAACGCCTTAGGCCCCATCCATATCCAAATTTTATTTTTAAAAAGTTTGTCTCTTGTTTTTTTTCCCCATAGTGGTGTATATATTTAAACTGAATGCGCTGTCGTGCATAGCATGGTTAAGGACTGGTTCACATCAGAAGTGTGCACAACTGCACAACAAGGTGCCGGTATATTGTAAAAAGCATATTTCACTGCAACCTTTTATCCTTTGTGGTAAATTGTGTTGCTTCATGTTGTGATGAAAAATGTACTGCATATTACAATGAACAAGGCTTTTTGCCATTCTGCGCATTGGGGACTGTGTTAGCCAAGACTGCCCAGTGCAAGCCAACTTCTCTGATGCTAAAAGGATACTGCAATGCATAGAAAATGCTCAAACTTCTGCAAGTTAGGAACCAGTACATTTTTTGTTGCAAAAAGATAGGGTAGACAAATAATTAATGGACACACTTGCATAACCTGATTTAAGCCAGAAATTTAGAGCTTTCTTGTGTTTATCTCAAGGTGTGTAATTGTTCATCCTAATTCTTATCTTGGACTATAGAATAACGAGTTTGTATTTTGTAGAGATGAGGACAGTGGGAATTCTTCAGTAGTATAGCGAGACACCCTGGGTAGGGCTGACACCGTTTAGTTCACAGAAGGGCTGTGTGCTGTTCTCATTATGGGCTATCAGCTGGTATTATGTACTTGCTGTCTTAAAAGCATAACTAAAAACCTCCTATCCTTCACAGCCAAGGAAGCTGCCATCTTGGGCTCTTAGATCTGCATTTGCCATGGTGCTGCAAATGTAATTAGCTATGATACTAGGCATTTAAAGAATACCTACAAGCAAAATTGTTTTTGGTTTTGGATAGAGTGGATAGGGATTAGAACATCTGTCAGTTTTCATTCCTGTCTATGCCCTGTTAAGGAGATTCACCCTCTCTATTTCTCCTGTTTACCAATATCATTGAAAGTAAAAGAAAATCCCAAATTTTGTGTTGCCCCCAGAGAAGTAATAGAGGGGAAATCTTCCAATGGGGACACTAGTTCTGGTGACTTGGGGATGCTCAAGGGATTCCCTTATTCTGCAGGACTTTCCTCTCCTTTCCTGTTTGGCTATGGGACAGGAAGTGAAGGGAAATCTCTTAATTGGGACATAGATGGTGATAAAAAAATGACATGGGTTATAAACCTCCTTTGCTATATCCAAACTAAAAAATGGCTTGACCGTTTAGTTGAGCGCTAACATAAGCACACTGGTAACTGTAACCATTATCATTCAAGCCATGCTTGGAATTTTGGGAAACCTTTTAATGCCCAACTCTAGAAAACATGGAAAATTCTCCCTTGCAGTGAGGTTGTGCCTGCACTGCAAGGGTTAACTGCTGGTTTAGGTCTAGGGGGCATGGAAAAGTAGATTTACTTACCCAATGCACCACTCCTCCAAAGATATAGGTTTCTTTAGCAATAGCAAATTTTTGTTTTCCTTGATGCGATAGGAGAGAGGTATAGGAGAGACCACTAAGCAGACGGCACAGCCTCTGTATATGCAACATGCAAATATGGTTCATGCTATGTGGATTCTTAATTCAATACTAAACGGAGAAACAAGATTTTAGACATTAAAGATGAACTGCATAGATGATTATAAATGTGAGTTGTTTTGCCTGGCAAGGATTTGTCTTTCTGTCTATCCAGATCTGAGGTTTACAAAGCCCTGTCAGGCAGCACAGTCAGGATAATGAAATCACTTTCTCTGTCACTGCTATAGATTGTGGAACACGGTGGCATTCTTTTTCCACCCCCAGACTGCTAACTGGACATTGAAAGCAGTAGTGACAGAAAACAAATTAGGATATTGCTATACTCATTCTGTGTTTTTCTTATTAGCATATTCCTTGGTAGCACCTTTTGTGTTCAGCACATGACTGACTTTTAGTCATGTCCATCCCTCTCCCAGTCTGAGTGCAGCTGTATAGGGAGTTGTAAGAGGCAAATTTAGGTACTTACATGATAACTATTAATGAATAACTAGCTATTTTAATTTGTGTATTTTGGGTCTGTTTGCAGTCTAGCTTCAGAGTGGTTATAAAGGCAGAATTCTTTTCTTTTTTTTTTTTTTTGAACCTTAATGCATTCTCTGCTTTTAAGGTAAAAAAAAAAAACCTTCTGCATGCATCCCCCCCCCCCCCCCCTTATACTTACCTGAGCCCCATCTCGATCCAGCAATTTTGCATGAGAGCAGAGGCTGTCTTGCATCTCTCTTCTCTCTCATTGGCTCAGAGACAGCAGAAGTAGTTGCTGACTCCTGCTGCTAAGTGTGTCAGTGGGACTGCTTGCTATGGGGGCACTCATCAGAGGGGAGGAAACAAGAGCGCTGAGCATTTACAGTCACTTTACATTTATTGGTAAGATTACTTCCATTGAGCAAATAAAAAAAAATATACATACACGCGCGCGCGCGCGCGCACAGCCTTGAAAAATTATTCATACTCCTTGAAATTTTCCACATTTTGTCATGTTACAAAAAAAAAAACTTAAATGTATTTATTGGGATTTTATGTGATAGACCAACACAAAGTGGCACATAAATGTGTAGTGGAAGGAAAATGATAGACGGTTTTCAATTTTCTTTACAAATAAATATGTGAAAAGTGTGGCATGCATTTGTATTCATTCCCCCTGAGTCAATACTTTGTAGAACCACCTTTCGCTGAAATTACAGCTGCAAGTCTTTTAGTAATGTCTCTACCAGCTTTGCACATCTAGAGTGAAATTTTTGCCCAGTGTTTGCAAAATAGCTCAAGCTCTGTCAGATTGGATGGAGAGCATCTGTGAACAGCAATTTTCAAGTCTTGCCACAGATTCTCAATTGGATTTAGGTCCGGACTTTGACTGGACCATTCTAACACATGAATATGCTTTGATCTAAACGAGGGGTCTCCAAACTTTTAAAACAAAGAGCTGATTTACTGTCCTTCAAACTTTAAGAGGCCGGATTGTGACCAGTGCAGGTAGAGAATGTACTGGGGCCAGCATCAATGAAAATAAACATGGGGTACTATTCCTTCCATTAATACCCATCATTGGTATTAATGGGAGGAATAATGCCCCATCATTGGTATCAGTGTAAGAAGTAGTGTCCCATTGTTGGTGTCAGTGGGAGGAATAGTACCTCATATCATTGGGAGGAATAGTGCCCAGAGTGCTAGATAAAGGCTAGCAAAGGGCCACATCCGGCCCTCGGGCCGCAGTTTGGAGACCCCCTGATCTAAACCATTCCATTGTAGCTGTGGCTGCATGTTTAGGGTTGTTGTCCTGCTGGAAGGTGAACCTCCGCCCTAGTCTCAAATCTTTTGCAGACTTTAACAGGTTTTCTTCTAAGATCGCCCTGTATTTGGCTCATCCATCTTCCCATCAACTCTGACCAGCTTCCCTGTCCCTGCTGAAGAAAAGCATCCCCACAACATGATGCTGTCACCACCATGTTTCATGGTGGGGATGGTGTGTTCAGGGTGATGTGCAGTGTTGGTTTTACGTCCCACATAACGTTTTTGCTTTTAAGCCAAAAAGTTCAATTTTGGTCTCATCTGACCAAAGCACCTTCTTCCACATGTTTGCTGTGTCCCCCACATGGCTTTTCGCAAAGTGAAAACGGGAGTTCTTTCTGGACAGATTCTCCCACCTGAGCTGTAGATCTCTGCAGCTCCTCCAGAGTTCCCATGGACCTCTTGGCTGCTTCTCTGATTAATGCTGTCCTTGCCCGGCCTGTCAGTTTAGGTGGATGGCCATGTCTTGGTAGGTTTGCAGTTCTGCCATACTCTTTCCATATTCAGATTATGGATTGAACAGTGATCTGTGAGCTGTTCACAGCTTAGATTTTTTTAACTTAACCCTGCTTTAAACTTCTCCACAACTTTATTCCTGACCTGTCTGGTGTGTTCCTTGACCTTCATGTTGCTGTTTGTTCACTAATGTTCTCTAACAAACCTCTAAAGGCTTCACAGAACAGATGTATGTATACTGAGATTAAATTACACACAGGTGGACTCTATTTACTAATTATGTGACTTCTGAAGGCAATTGGTTCCACTAGATTTTAGTTAGGGGTATCCGAGTAAAGGGGGCTGAATTATGTGCCACTTTGTGCTGATCTATCGCATAAAATCCCAATAAAATACATTTACGTTTTTGGTTGTAACCTGACTAAATGAGGAAAATTTCCAGGGGTTTTCAAGGCCAAGGCTGTGTGTATGTATATGTGTGTGTGTGTACGTGCGTGTAGCCCCTTGTCTATCAAGGCATGTGTAAAAGTGATATTGCATCACATCCAGGTTCAGACCAGTTATTCCCAGCTGCTGTAAACAAGGGTAGCCATGATCTGTGCTTGATTAGCTGCAACGGAGGGCAGGGGAGACATTAGAGGTCTAGTAAAACCCCAATGTCTCCATGAAGAGAAACCTCCCCACTGCTAGAGATTAAGATAAAAAATTCCCGGGCTTAAATTCATGGTTTATTCTAACCTGACTACCTGTAAAGGCTTTTAAAGTGTCTCCTGTGGACAGTTTTGAGTATAATGTTTTGTGATTTCATGGGCATGCACAATTTTAAGACTTGACATGCTTGGTATCTATTCACTCAATATAACCCCATATTTTATATTTTACCAAGAAATGGGGTAATATTGGTTTTGTTTGCACTAAAACTTATTTTAGTGTATTTTTTTGCCTGAAAATCTGTGTTTTTATAAACAGCTGTGTAAATTATATGGGATGATGAAAAAATATAAAAAAATGTGCAAAGTTTAATTTGCCCCAGCAGTGGGTAAAAAGATTCATAGTTTTTAATTTGAGTATCTGGCAGTAGAAAACAGTACTGGGATGGAAGGTAGACATGAGAACTGTTTCTCCCAATAATAAATTGATGTATTAAAATATTTTGTTTTAGCCTGAATACTGTCTGCATTGTTTTGACTGTGGCATTCCGTTGCACTCATATGACTGCTCCTGGCAAGGGTATTATCCAGCTGTGGCAGAACACTACCTCTAAAAACATCTACTCTTCAGTATCCTCAATTGGAAAGCCATGGGCTGCAAGAGTGTGCTCCCATCATACCTTCTGTGTTCCACTATAACATAATGCAAAGGAGGCTGGCTCTGGATTAATTTGTTCCATTGCTCACTAAAGTGCTCGGTGCTATGCTTCATGCAAACTCATGATGTTGATTTTTTCCTTGTGCACTGTATTTTATAAGGTGCAAGAGCTCCCCTAGCCTGTCTTGTCTCTGACTCTTGCTTAAGCCCACCACAGAGCTCTGGAGGAAGTGCAGTTATGCAATAATTTGTAAAACCAGGGAATTGCCTGCATTTTAAGTAGATTCTTAAGCATGGTACACACTGCAAGTTTTTTTCGTACAACCCAGCTGGTTGAACGACAAGAAACTGGCAAATCGCCATACTAACACAAGTGATGTTGGTATGGTGATCTCCCCCACTGTGCTGCTGTATTCCGTGGGAAAAATACACTTTAATTTGCACACATCACCTGACTCTGTTAGTCACTCTGGGCTGTATGAATTGTATTTGAAGCTGTGTTTAAATTGAATTGCATACATGTAAATGATTTCTTCTCTTTTCTTTTACAGTTTTGGTCTTCGCAATGGGTAAAGAAGGAGTCCACGGTGGCGGCTTGAATAAAAAGGCATTCGCAATGGCGAAATACTTGAGAGATATGGGATTCTAGCTTTTAGGCCAACTTACATTCTAGGGGAAAAACAGACAAACATTGCTACTAAACTTTCCTGCGTGAACAAAGCATTCTTTATGTGGAAATTTTATTAGCAATAAAAAGGGGTGATGGGGGATGAACCTGTGTCTCCTTTGTATCCCTATTTTGGTGGGGAAAGTTGTTGTCTTTAATTTTTTTTTTTTCTTTTAAAATTTTTTGTGTTTTTAAGCAATTGATTTATCATGGCAAATCGTGTCCATAATAGGACAACCCAACAAGATGTTTTTGTTGACTGCTTTTACCCTCCTCGAAGGCTTTACTACTGAGCAGCATCTCCTGCCGGCTATGTCTTTACATTGCATCTCGTCTGTCCACCAGACTCTAGATTATAGTTACAGTTTGTCTTTCATTTAACCATAATCTTTCTTGTTAGCGTGACTATATTTCTGTACCACCCGTTGCAGTCCCGTAATGTGAAACGCGTGGCTTTTCAGTGTTATGTATGCATAGGCTGGTAATCCATATCTGTTGGTATACTGAGTGTCTGACCCATATGTTAACATTGTGCTTAGAAGTCAGGTGGTAAAAGGGTGGGTGCTTAACCAAGTTTTAAGACCATTTTAAGTACACCGAATGTACACCTTGCCACAAACTGTACCTCAATTAAAGCTGTTTTAATCTGTACTCTTCTAAAGTACGGTGTAGTTGCCTCACTTTAAAGCAGATAGCAATGTAACTTAAACCCAGTTTGCCATCAGATATTCCTGGTTTGTGCTGTTCTGCTACCAGCACAAGTTTTACAGCACATGCTTGCGTTGTCCTGTACAAAGTCTGGGCTTAGTATAGTAAGTAGAGGCCTAGTAACTTAAGTCAGCAGGACTGCAGCAAGGCATGGGCAGCAGCTAGACATACAAGGGTGGAGAAGAGTGGTGCACAAGAAAACACTAAGCTTGATGCAGATTTGTACATCCATTGGATTGATGTGTTTTGAGCGTTTGAGCATATACACAGCTCAACTTAGTCTTCCTTTGCTCAAACATAGGTGGAAATCACTACTTACAATAGAAAACACTAGGTCCATTTTTCACTACTCTTTAAACTTATTGTAAAGCAATTTTACCTTTTTATCTTTTGGTGTCTTACAAATTTACCCTCCTGTATGTAATCATGATTGCAGACTACAGTGCCACAAGCTTATGGTTTGGCATTGATCTGTGGTGAGCGCCTGCTCGGAAGGACACGCTTGTGCGTTTTTAGTGCAATAACGTAAATAATATCATCTTTCTCCGACACTAGAGTGTATGCCAAATCATTTTTTTAAATAAAAGTTTTAAAGCCATTTGGTAGAGTTTATTCTTTTGTCATGGTTGTGGTGGGAAAATTCTCTTAAACTATGAAATCTTTATTTCTAAATCTTCCACCTTGTATTGCAGCACAGAATAAGGGTTTCAGGTAGGTGAAGGAGACTCAGACTGACACTTGGGAGAACTTTTGGGGCATATTTATAACTTATTTCTTTCTGTATTAATTCATGGCTATATTTAACAAAAGGCAGCAACCCATATTAGAGTATGATTAGCCTACTATTTAATCTTTTACTCCCTTCAGATATATATAGTCATTATTGTTGGTTATGCTATGATCTTTTGACATCATTGTAAGCGTCATTCCTGTCTGCCACACATTGAATTTGGATGTTGGCTGATCATAGATCCTGATGTACACTTCCAAATACTGGCTGATTTAGGATATAGTATACAAACCGTATTCAAGATGCCTGTTAAATAAAAACACCATGCCAATATGATGTCCTTTATTTTTGAAACAGCTATTAAAGAATTTAGTTCAAAGTGTAAGGACCTAGGAACAACATTAAGCCAGTCATACATGGATTTGACTTTAGTCAGTTCAGCAGGGGCTGACTGACCTCTGTACAACTAGAGTGCCCATACATGGATCAAAATGCGATCTACCATTTACCTTCTGTACAACCAGCCTATTGGAAAATTCCCTGCTGTCGGGGAATTCTCCTAATGTCAGAATACAGTAGCTCAGCGGGAGTGATTCTCCTATCCAACTTGAATGCGTGGATGGGGGGAATTGGTTCTTTTTTCTTTCAGACTGCTGGTGACTACGACTAATGTATGGGCTGCCTTAGTGTAAAATTGTGGGTACTTGGCGATCTTGTCACCTTGCTGCATAAACTGCTTTTAATCTATTCTGCTTTCAGGATGGAATGTGTTAACAGGCAGGCGCAGAGGGAGGAACTTCTCAGAGGAACTCCACTGCATCTGATCTTCACCTTTAGAGCAGCCTTTCTCGATCTTTTTAACATGGAGGAACCCTTGATATAACTTTAGTCTCAGGGAACCCCTGCTAATAAAATATATATATATATATATATATATATATATTATCACGGTACATTTGTGGTAAGTGGGAAGATTCCCCCACTTATAGAAAGTTAAAATGTTAATTGGTGTCAGCAGTTACTGTACTTATCAGAGGCAGAAATTGCTCAAGAAACCCCAAGCAGCCTCTGGAGGAACCCTAGGATTCCACAAAACCCTAGTTGAGACAGGCTGCTTTAGAGGTTCCAGCAGCTCCCGTAGTACAAGAAGACCAGTAGTTTTGGTGGCTTTCTAATTTAACACAGGCTCTTGGTCAGCCAATCAATAGGTAATATCATAAAGATCTCTTTTTATAATGATGTGGTTTATTTGTCTTCATAGGACCAATTGCAGCTACATATTTCCCCCAAGCATTACAGACTTAATCTGACTTGAGATGACTACCACTTTCAGTCTCATTATTCAGCTTCTTTTCATTGGCAGGTCTGAGAATGTCATTGCTGCTGGATTATTATCACTATATCGTTTTAAAGGGGGTTGGTAGTTTTGAAATAGTGCTGCTGACAAACATTAACACAGAAAATAACAACTGTTCAACATTGCTGCAGAAACAGTTCATTACATTTCTTTGTATTATTTGAAACATGTATAACCTGGTTGTCAGTTAAAATACATTACTGTCTATTTTAATAAAAAAATAAAATACAAGTTCTTTGTACTAAAGAATAATAGATGGCATTCTTTAGAATGAAGCAAGCTCTAAGTGTGATAGCTTCATATGTATTCTGTGCCATATGACAGTATGGAGCCGTGAGAAGGGTTTTAACTGACATAAAGGTCCTACTTCCTCCAAAATGGCACTTCTGTAAGGACATTTTAGAATTTTTGCTTCTGTTTTGTCTTGTGTATCATGTACAAACTGTAAACACTTGTTAATTTGTCCATGTCTTTCCCTGCACTTTTGTTACATCTGGGATACAGTCTAACTCATCTGATTTAATATGCATTTAAAGAAATGCCATAAACTATTAAACCACCTTGTTTACAGACAGATGAAATTAAATTTATTCCAACCAAACGTACGAGTCGTGTCATGTCTCCAGAGGATGTGGGAAGGGGTATATCTTTTACATGAAAACTTACATTGCAGTATACAGACATTTATTTACTTATTGCGAGGTGAGTCAAACAAATGCAAAAACCCAACTCCAGGTAGATGTGAATGCATGTATTTTAAATGCAAATGGTATAAATACCTAAATGTGTCTTGATTTCAGGCACTTTCATTCCCTGTACAATAGTACTCAGACTAAGAAAGGGAGGTACTTGAGGCTAGTTGGTGTCCTGCGTTCACATGTGATAAGGAACTTTGTTATAGAAAAAAAAATTGCCTCCTCAATCAGTTGCTACTTCTTGACTGTCCAGTTACCTGGGGAGGTTGTCAGTGAGAAGATCTAGTTGCACTGCTCAAAGTGCTAAAGCCAGAACTACACAGATGTTTCTCACAGTGCAGTAAAAAAGGCCAGTTCATTCAGAACAGATGTTTGTTTGATGTTGGAGTTACATCTAGTGGTCTGTAGTTTCTTTTTAAGGATTCTGGTGAGGAGAACTGTTTTCCCTCATTGTACAATACAGGGCACTGGCTTCTTTTTTTTTGGCAGGTTTATTTGAAAATGGACATCCCCCTGTATAACGTCTCCCTCTCCCAACTAGCCTCAGTTTTTTGCTAGTGTCCTTACATGATGAACCTGTTATTTCTACTGGGACAAGCTTACCTTCTTACTTTGGAGGTTTTCTGTCTCTGGGTGACTTCTTCCAAGACCATTACTTCATTGCATGGCTGCACTAGAGCTCATTGGCAGAGCCTTTGAAGATCATACCTGACCTGCACCTGATGGAAGATGTGAAGCCGGCCTGTAATGTTGCTACTCTCTGGATCCTGCTGTAGGTGCTCCCCTTGGTACATAGTGTAGTGTGTGAAGTCAGTCAAAGGGTGCTTTGTGAGGCAAGAACCAGACTGCCTGATGTAGAGCCCAGTCTTTGGGAGCCCTGCAGAGACAGACTCACTATGGAAAGGGTGAGACCAGGAAGAGATTGGGTGTGGCAGCACGGCAACGACCCTGCGCATGAAAGTAAACCCACCACAAACTGGCTTCAGAAAAATAAAATGCATCTTTTGGAGCCATTTACGCTGTTTTGTAAAGAGGAATGGTCAAAAATTCCTTCAGACCATTGTGCAGGTCTGACTCTGAGCTACTGAAAGCACTTGCTTGAAGTTATTGCCACCAAGGGAAGTTTAATCAGCTTTTCACTCCAAGGGTTCACTTTTTCCTCTGTACTGTGAATGTTTAATGCACATTACTTGTCTATTTTTGTGACTTAGATGAGGATCAGATCACATCACATTTTATGACAAGCTACGGCACAAAACTAGTTAATTCCAAGAGGTTCACATACTTTTTCTTGCCATTACCACATATAAAAATAAAGCTCCCCAAACACACAACATAAAAAAGCACACCGTAGGGCAAGCATGAGTATATAACATCAATTGCCCCACACGTGATTGTCAGAATAAAAGCAATAATTCTAGGGTCTTAGGTCACAGTTAACTCTAAACTGATGAGGTGTACAGGCTTTTAATGCGGCCCCTATGGTGAATTT